CTTGGGAAGATTGTACAGCACACAGGAAACAGCATGTGCGGCTGTCCTGCCCTCCTCCCTCTTCTTGTCTGCCCCCTCCTCTCCATCCTCCTTCCCATCCCCCTCCGCCTTGTGCACCTCTCTCTGGCCCTCCCCTCTCATACCCCACTCAGCTCCTTCCTCCTCCATGTTCATCCCTGTGCAGGCTGCAGGTTTGGCCTGGTATGTCCAGACCCCCGGGTCTGACCCCAGGATGCTGACTCTCTGTCCCTGTGGCGCCTGTGGCCCCCACAGGGCTGCAGCGCATACTTGGGCCAGCCAGGAGATGTCCTGCCAGGCTGTCCTTACAGGAATCCGTGCTCTGAGGACGAGCAGAGCAAGGGCCGAGAGGAAGCTGTGGGGAGGCCACTGGGTGTGCAGTGGCAGGAGCCATGCATCTGTCTCCTGGGGATGCTGTGCCTGTCTTGGCACCTCATGCGGCCGAAGCCAGAGCAGTCATTGGGCAGCAGGCAGCAGGTGATCCCTGGCCCTTTGGTTTGTCTCCCGAGGGCCTGTTGTGAAGCCCTCGCCCACACACATGTGCTGGGGGGCACCCAGCTCATGGGAGAGACCAGTCCCACTGTGTGGAGGTGACAGAGTGGTCACTGGCGAGCTGCTGAGGAACTACTTATTGGTCAGTGGAGTCCCACAGAAGGACTGGGCTTTCCACATGGTCCCGCTGTGGTCCCAGCCTCCTCCCCCTCCCCACCAAAGCCAGGAGGTCTGTCGGGAGGCCAGCAGATCAAATCTCCCCACCTTTCTGGCAGCCCTGGCAGCCTCCATCCCGAGCACAGGGGCAGGACTGATTGGGAGCGTGACTTGGGAAGCCCAGGTTTGGGGTCCTGAATCCTGGGTCTGGGCCTCACCTCCTCCCTGCACAGCGGAGGGAGAGCCACATGCTGTCAGCTGTTCGGGCTGCTGAGCCCTTAGGGAGGCCTGGTGGGGAGAACCGTCCTGTGATACTGACCCTTCCCGCAGCAGTGCTGGCTCTGCGGCTCGACCCACCCCAACCTGGGCCCCGCCACCCTGCTGATCCCGCTGAGAACTGAGGATGAGGCCAGGAGCCAGGTGGGGCTGCCTCTTTCCTGCCTGCCCGCCCCTACTCCACATGCCCTGGAGAACCCAGGTGCTGCTTGGGTTCTGGGTCCTTGGATTGCTGGGTGGCTGATCTCCCAGGCACCCTAAGAGCTCAGGGGCAGTGGCTCTGTATTTTTCTGCTCCACAGGCACATAGCCAGGCAGGATGGGTTGGGTTAAAAATTTCCCTGACCAAAATGAGGGGCTCAGTCAAGTGGTACAGAAACCAGGGGCCAGAAGAGACTCTAGCAAACCACTGACTGTGCAGGCAAGGTGAGAAGGCGGAGGTCAGGAGGATGGAAATCACAGCAGGTGCCCGAGTCGGAGTTCAGCTCCTACCTGCACATGCAAGGAAACCCAGGCACAGAGAGAGCAAGGCACTGGCTTGAGGTCGCACAGCCAGTAAAGAGTGGGTAAGGGTTCCAGCTCCCCTCTGTGGGTCTCAAGGTAACTGCCCATCCTCCTCCCAGATGGGCCCCAGGACAGCGTCTCCTGGAAGATGTGCCTTGGGAGCCAGTGGGCCGTGTCTGCTCCCTGATGGGGGTGGGTCACTGGCATACACCAAGGGTGGGCTGGGGGCACTGCAGACACCTGTTAGACAGCAGAGGGGAGCAGATAAGAGTGGAGATACAGCACCCCAGCTGCTGGCTTCAAGTCTTGGTGCCCCCGGCTTCTCGCTGGGTGAACTTGGACAAGTCCCTGTCCCTCTCTGTGCCTAAATGAGGGGCTTGATAACAGGGAGGTGATGGACAGTGCCCTGACCTGCCTATCAAGTGTCCCCCTTGCCTCCTCCTGCCCACTGAACTCTGCCTCCTCCTTCCCCATTGAGAGGGAGAAGCCAGGGCTCTCGGGTTCGCTCCTCTGTTGGATGGAACTGCACAGCCCCCAGGGGTTGCAGCATTGATTTTGCTCTCCCTGGGTATTGGGGTGCCCGCTGGCCTTCTCTGTTGTGGTTTTGGCAGACCCCCAGAAAGCCACACTTCTGGGCGCCCAGGGGCTGGGTGGGAACAGGCGGGACACCATCTGCTGGGGACAGTGAGCCCAGACAAACTCATCTCCACACAGCACAGCCCTCTGGCCACAGCCCCTGCCAGGCCAGCTCGCCTGGAGCTGCAGAGGGGTCACATAGCCCAGGCCGGGAGCGCTGACATCGCATCTGTCTGTGTGCAGCCCTGCGCGTCGTGTGGCTCTCGGAGCCTTGATGCCCTCACTGTGAGGCAGGACTAGTGATGATTCCCACATCCTTGTACACAGCACTTGCTGGGCGGGGCAGGTGCTGGAAACCATACCACTGTTGGAAGCAGCTCCTGCCGATCCCACGGAGAAGTGGGGAGACTGAGGAAAGAAGCAACTCACCTGCAGGTCCCAGGGATGCTGGGGGGGAGGCGTCCAGGACACACACAGGAGAGGCATGGTTGTGGGCTCTGCAGGTGACCTCGGGTGGCTGAGGGCTGCGAGGGCTGCAGCGGGAGCCACTCACTGGCCTCTCAGGCCCTTTCCCTCAGCTGTGACCTGAGGGTGTAGACAGGGCGCCAGTGTGGCAAGGAAGGTGGCCTCGGGTGAGGGCCTGGCACAGGGGCTCCAGCCGCGCCCTAGGTCTGTCCTGCCCGCTGGCCTGGACCAGGTCTGCCAGTCCCCATGGGCAACACTGCCACACTCGGCGCCTCTGGGCCCTGATTGAGGCTCCATTGCAGCACCCCCAGGCTGGGCAGCCTCAGTTTCCTTGTCTGTCCAGTGAGGGAGCACCAAGGCCCAGTAGGCACACAGTAAGAGTTTGCTCTTCTCCTGGGTGAGCGGCCACTGGCATGGCCCGGGCACACAAAGATGCTGAGTGCTCCTGGTGAACGGATCCCTGCCTTTTCCTGCAGCAGAGAATAGACTGCTTCTGCTTCCCCGGGCACAAAGCCAAACTCAATATGAAGTTTTTTTCTTGAACCTCCGCGTTTCAAAAAGAATTTAAAGCAAGTTGAGCGATTGCAGTCTAAAGTGAGGCTCTGTAATTTCTGTAATTACGGAACCGGAGTGAGACAAAGCAGGAGTGAGAGCAGCCTTGGGGGAGGGGACAGTCCCTTCCTCGTGCCCCATGCCCAGCCACCGGGGACAATGGTAGCCCTGAGACTCCGGCTTCCCCACCCCACGCAGCCGCCTGTCCCTCTGAGGCATGGGACAGAGAGAGCTTGTCTGTGACAGCTTCCACGCTCCCTCCAGCCTCGGGTCAGGGCTCTAGCATCTCTTGCCTGGGCACTCAGACTCCAAAGGGGCCCTTCTGCTGCCTTCTGGAGCTGAGACAGAATAAGGCAGGCGGCCCATCCCATTCAGAATAAGATCTGAGCTCTCACCCTGGCCCCCGCAGCACCATGGGACCTCGCCCCATCCACTGCCTCCACGTGATCCATCCCCACATGATCTCACTGGACTCCAGCCTCCTTGGCCTCCTTGCTGACTTTCAAACATACCCAGCTCTTTCCTGCCTCAGGGCCCTTACACTTGCTGTCCCACTGCTTGAAATACTGTATCCCAGCCTGTCACATTTCTGGCTCTTAATTCAGGCTGATTTTTTTTTTTTTTTACTCTGGCTGGTAAAACAAGCCCAGGGGCCAGTTTTGACCCATTTTGCCACTTCTGATCTGGGGCTTCCAAGCTGCACATGTTTTCTTTTTCTTGCCAGGCACCTCCTCATTCAGGATTGCCAGAGGCATTTCCCCTACTTGGTTTGTCCCCATCTTTCTCAGGGGCTTTACAATGTGGCCACAGGAGGCACACTGAGGAAGGGCAGGCTGTCATGGGAGTTTTATGCCTGTATTCATGAATTTCCCTCCACTTGGAATGCCTGCTCCCTCTTTTTGAGCCTGATGAACTCCTATTCAGCTTTCAAAACCCAGCCTAGACGGCCCCTCCTCTGGGAAACCTTCTGTTGGTGATTTAACTCATTCCTTCTGGGCCTACAGTGCCTTGCTTTCCTACATCTTGCAGCACTTGCCATAAGCTTCAGGTAAGCTTCGGGTAGAAAGAGTCTCCTTCAGGCCATGACCTCGTCCAAGACAGTGTCCTACTCAGCCTTGCATCCTGAGTATCCCTGGCTCTGTGCACACAGTCAGTATCTGTAGGACTGACCCTCTAGACAGGTGTCCGAGACATGTGTGGGCGCCTTTGAGGACGAGAAGCCAGGGTGGTGGTAAAACGTGGGTTGTCTGTGAGCCCCGGGATGGTGTTAGTGATGGGCACACCGTGTGGGGACCAGGTCCAAGGAGCCACAGAGCAGGGCTTCTTCCCAGCTCCTGGCTGTCCGGGGAGAGGGCTCTGTAAGTTTATTTTGTGTCATTTCATTAACTGTTAAAGAACATTCCAGAAATCAAAAAAGGAAAAAGCGTACAGAAGAAAACAAAAATCACTCCTCATCAAAGCCCTGGTTTCATCTTTGGGTGTACCCTCCCAGTGTGCCTGTTTGTGAGTTTTTATGAGCAGATTTGGGGGTGGAAGGGAGACTCGCTGGAGGGGGAGGGGGTACTTGAAAACCTGCTTTCCTGACTACACAAAACACCAGGCTCTTCCCCATGGTCTTACATGGTCTTTCATCACATTTCTGTATGTCCAGATAAGGATGCAGAAAATCGCTACATTAAACCTTGGCTTTATATATTTTGGGAAAAAGGAAACCATCAACTGGGTCCCACAGCTCCCAGTGGGGCTCAGGCGTGGCACCCCTGGGCCCCATTGGCTTCTCTTTTCCTTCTGATAAATTATGGAATGTGGTCCTCACATGCCCATCACAGCTGTCCCCAGCACCCAGGCCAGCACCACGCTGCATGGACTGGCTGTGGTCACCGTGGCTGGGTCTGTAGACACGGTGCAGCCCACCGCCACTGCCTGCTCACCCGCCCCTCTCTTTCCTTCTGTGTTTGGCAGCTTGGCCCGGGGCTTGCAGGGACCTAGCCGGAGCTGACCTGTGGCAGACCATCAGGTAACGATGGCCCTTTCGTGGACTTGCTGCTCCCAGCCAGGTAGCAGGCACAGCTAAAGTGTGCCACAGTGTGACAGCTGCCTCTTTTTTTTTTTTTTTTTTTTTTGCGGTACCGGAGATCTAACTCAGGGCCTTGAGCTTTCAAGGCAGGCACGGTGCCACTGAGCTAAATCCCCGGCCTGACAGCTGCCTCATCTTATAGGTGGGGAAAATGAAGCTCAGAACCAGCAAGCATAGTACTTAGGAGGTGTAGCCCTAAGGTACTAGTACTCCGCTAACAAAAGTCAGGAGATTTGAACTCATGACTGCTCTCAGGCCAATTTCACACCTTGTTCTCCATCCATGCTGCCTCTGGAACTAAAGAGGTAAGAAGGATGCAGAGGATCGGTTCATCTTGGGGTGACTAGGAGCCCAAAGAGGTCATTCAAGCCAGTGGTCCTTTCCCAGAGGAGGACAAGGCCAGGCCTCGGGTATAAACATCTTCTTTTGTAGTTTGTTAAATGTATAGACTCGGGGATTTCCAAAAATCCAGTAAGAGATGTGCTGTTACCCTCATCTTAAAAGGTAGGGATAGTGGGGCAGAGAGGTCAAGATGTCTATGCAAAGTCACACAGCTGGAAAGTGATAAAGTGGACCGTGATCAGAACTACAGTCCCCATTGGGCTTACCCTGACCACAGCTTAGGAAGGACAAATCTAATTGTCTCCTAGGAGGCAACCATAGGGATCTTATCATTAAACACTGTATTTCTCTTGGGAAGTATGGTGGCCTCGGGTCTCTCTTCTGGGCAGGATGCACAGAGGGCCAGAGTTGGAGCTGGCTGGGCAGCTTGCGGCAGACCCTCATGCGCCCCCTCTGGCTTGCATCTTCCCCTCCTATCCTTCAGGGGTGGGGCTGGGGGGGTCAGAGGGCTGAGGGCACCTGCTGGAGCCACCAGCCTGCGTGGGTGTCACTTTATCACTGTTATTTTGGAGTAACTCTAGAATCCTGGTGCTTACTGTGCCTGTGTCCCACCTCTGTCCTCTAGGGTGACCTTCAACCGCAAAGCTGCTGTCCACGTGGACTGGGGCCGAGATCGTGCGTCCATCCGCCAGGACCCCCACATCCAAACTCCGAGACATGGCGACCAATGGCAGCAAGGTGGCCGACGGGCAGATCTCCACAGAAGTCAGTGAGGCCCCCTTGGCCAACGACAAGCCCAAAACCCTGGTGGTCAAGGTGCAGAAGAAGGCCGGGGACCTTCCCGATCGAGATACATGGAAGGGCCGCTTCGACTTCCTCATGTCCTGTGTGGGCTACGCCATTGGCCTGGGCAATGTCTGGAGGTTCCCCTACCTCTGTGGGAAGAATGGCGGGGGTAGGTGGTGGCCTGGTAGCCTCTCAGCTGGGTCCTGCTGGGCGCTGTCCGGGGAAACTGTAGGGCAAAAAGCCTTGTAAAGATTCCAAAGATTGTTGGTACTGGGTCTTGATTCTTGCTTCTTGCCCCTTTATCAAGTTAGTCAGCTCTCTGTCACTGTGACAAAATACCTGGAGATAATGATCTAAGGCGGAGCTGTAATTTTTGGCTCATAGTTTCAGTCCTTGGTCAGCTGGCTCCATTGTGTTTAGGCTGGTGGTGAACATCATGGTGGAAGGGTGTAGTGGGGAAAGCTGCTCAGCTCGTGGCAGCCAGAAAGTGGAGGGAGAACAAGGTCTAGTCCCCAAGGCTGCACCCTGTGACCCACTCCCTTCCACTGGGCCCTCATTCAGCATACGAGGCCAGCAGCCCCATGATCTGATCACTTCCCAAGAGCACAACAGCTGACCGCCCAGCCTTCAACACAGTGAGATTGAAGGACACGGAAGATCTCAGCCATAACAGATCCCAAAGGACAACTGTCCTCCCCTGCTGATGCCAAGCGTTCATCTCTTTGCTTTGCACAGCAGAGTGTGGGTTTTGAGCAGAGGGATGCCCTTGGTCCGCAGTTTGGCTTTGGGCACACTTTGGAAGCAGGACAGGAGATCCCCGAGGGGAACCTGGAATCATGGTGCCCTGCTGATGAGAAGTGTTTCCCCAAAGCCGTGGGGCCACAGCCTCTGTCCTGTCGCCTGCAGGGGCCTTCCTGATCCCCTACTTCCTGACACTCATCTTTGCGGGGGTTCCGCTCTTCCTGCTGGAGTGCTCCCTGGGCCAGTACACGTCCATCGGGGGCTTGGGTGTGTGGAAGCTGGCCCCCATGTTCAAGGGTAAGCACGTAGGGTATGGCCCTGGTTGGGGGGGCCCTGCCCCAGGCCTTGTGAAGCCAGGGCCCCTCCAGAAGGCTCTCATCTGTGCAGAAGGGCAGTAGTTGTGTGGGGGGAAACTAGGTGGTCAGGAGGAAAGCAGACCCAGATCCTACCCATCCGTGAGCTCACTTCCCACCGGGGCCGGGGGGATTTCCTCCGCCCCTGCGCTTGGTGCCAGTGGGCCCGCAGGAGGCCTGTGGGAGCCATGATCACTGCCCACAGGCTGGGCCTGGCTCCCTGACACCCTGAGCCTGCTGGCCAGGTGCCTGAGGCCTCCAGCTGGTCCCTGCCTCTCATGGGCTCAGTATCCCCAGCCATGCCTGTGTCTGGGGTTGATGGAGGTAGTGGCCGGGTGATGGCTGTCAACACAGACCACGCGGGGGTGACACTGTGCTCTCTCCTAGGTGTGGGTCTGGCCGCAGCGGTGCTGTCCTTTTGGCTGAATATCTACTACATCGTCATCATCTCCTGGGCCATCTACTACCTGTACAACTCCTTCACCACGGTGAGCCAGCCTGCCCTGCCCGCCGGGGGCACGGCATGTCCTCTGTGGCCCTGTCTCCCCCAGAAGTTCTGGCACTGTGTGATGACTATGCTCCCTGGCCAACATCTGACCCTCCCAATGCCCCTGTAAGGGGACTGGTAACCCGTTTTGTGTGGTGGCCTAAGTTCAAATCCTGACTCTGCCATGTACCATATGTCCAACAGGCTAGGAGGAGACTTAACCTCTCTGGGGCTTGCTGTCCTCACTGATAAAATGGGGATAAAATTATCATTCCACTTCTGGGTAAACACCCAGAGAATTGAAAGAAGGGTCTCAAAGATACTCGGATCTGCTCACGCCATGTTCACAGCAGCATTAACCACAGGACATGACCCAGGGTCCAGCCGAGTAGCATAGTGGAGGTTACTCAGCCTTGAAAAGGAAAGGGGCTCTACTAGCAGCACAGGGGTGGAACAGGATGCTGTGCTGTCCCAGAACGCATGCCGTAGGACTCCACTCGCATGAGACAGGAAGCAGGAAGTGGTTCACAGGGCCAGGAGCGGAGGGGCTGGGAGTTAGTGTTCAGTGGAGACAGAGTTAGAGCTGGGTGCGGAGAGATGATGATGATGATGGCTGCCTGTGATAAATGTACTGAAAAATAATCAAGAAGGTAAATTGTATATGATACAGCTCTCATCACCAAAAAAAAATTGGGAGAAAACAAGATGTGAACGTGGGTACGTATGGAGGCTCATGCCTATAATCCTAGCCAGTCAGGAGGCTGAGGCAGGAGGACTGCAGTTTTGAGGCTATCCTGGGTAATGTAATGTAACCCTGCCTCAAAAAACTTAAGGACTAAGGATGTAGCTCAGTGGCAGAGCATTTGCCTAGCATGTTTGAGGCCCTGCATTCAATCCCCAGTACCAGACAGAGAGAGAGAGAGAGAGAGAGAGAGAGAGAGAGAGAGAGAAACAGAACAAAAAGTGAACCCACCCCATAAGGCTCAGAGGCTCAGCAGAAAATAGGTGTGAAGTGTCCAGGCCCCACCTGGCTCGGAAGAAGCACCACGTCCCTGTTGTCATTCCTGTGCAGTCACAGAGCTGGGTCATGGCCCAGGACCCTGGCAGTGCAGTTCAGAAGCTTTTCTCCTTGGGCCGCTTGAGGCTCACCTTTCAGCCCTGACACTTGGCAGCTGTGTGACCTCAGGCAGGCTGCTGCCCCTCTCTGATGCTAAGAGCTGCTGGGGAGGAGAGGCAGGGACAGGAGAGGCCTAGGGGACCATGAGGGTGGGCGGAGCCAGCTTGGACCCTGTTTGCTGCCCTGAGGGCTCCCAGGCAGTGTCCATGTGACCGTGTCCTTGCAGACACTACCATGGAAACAGTGCGACAATTCCTGGAACACAGAGCACTGCTTCTCCAACTACAGCATCGTCAACACCACCAACATGACCAGCGCCGTGGTGGAGTTCTGGGAGTGAGTGCCGGAGTGTGGGCCCAGGGCGACATGGAGGCAGGGGAGGGTGGGGCCTCTTCCTGCCCAGAGAGAGCTGGGCACCAAGGGGCCACAAGGAGACACAGCTGCCAGATGCTGCTGAAAGGGTTTGGGGGGAACCGCACCTGTCCTCGTCACTCTCTGGACAGTGTACGGACACTGCGCTTGATATTCAAAGCCACCTAGAGATGGTGTAGGGCTTGCAGCAGACCTCCCAGGTTATGTGCCAAGGCCCTGCATGTTCTGTCGGGGACCCCAGGGCCTGTAGTGAAGGCCACGTCTGTGGACTCCATCATCATCAGAGGAGGGCTGGGGACACTGCCGTGACAGAATGAGGTCCCAGGGCCCAAAGCTCTGTGTCGTGAAGGGAGTGGCTTGGAAGGCCCCGGAGCTTGTGGACAGGATGAGCCAGAAGAAGTGGCACCCAGGCTCTCTGTGGGCATGCAGATGAAAACCTACTCCAGCCGTGGTTGGCTCTGCCCACTGACACCTCCCACTCACAGCTCTCCTGGACACACTCGGGCTCTATGCCATCATTCAGCCATTTGCTCCATACATGTTTCCTGAGCACCTACTATCGTGCCAGTGTGATTAGAAAGATGGCTATGTGAAGACAGGACCCTGCTAGGGGAGGCACACACAGGTTTCCTGGCATCTTCATGGGAGGGATGGCGGCTTAGAGAGAGAGAGAGAGGAGGTAAGGCTGGCTCCCAAGGCAGGGCATCTGTGCTTCACTCTGAGAACAGGAAGGAGCTGTTCGTTGCAGGGCACAGTTGACAGTGGGTCCCCTAGATGCCTCTGGCATCCAGGTGAGCAATGACAGGGCTGAGCAGCAAGTCCTGCTCTCTCTGACCTCTGACATTTCCTAGTGACACTGTGCTGGGCCTCATGGTCTCCACACAAACCAGGGAGGATGTGTCCCCGCCTGGGCACCCTGGCCCCTCCATCTGCCCCAGCCCCTGTGACTCTCTCATGGCTGCTCTGTCCCACTAGGCGCAACATGCATCAGATGACAGATGGGCTGGACAAGCCGGGTCAGATCCGCTGGCCGCTGGCCATCACCCTAGCCATTGCGTGGATCCTGGTGTACTTCTGCATCTGGAAGGGTGTGGGCTGGACTGGGAAGGTAGGGATGTGCACGGTGACTGTTGGCCAGATGAGAAAGTGGGACTCAGGGAGAATAAGAAATTGACCAGAAGTCATACACAAAATGTTGAAGCCTTTCCTAACTCTAAGGGCAGCGGTGTCTCCAGAGGATGGCGGCTGCCTTTCCTACCCTACATTATTCTAGAGCCAAGTCCGGGGCATGCATTAACCCAGAGAATAACCCAGGGTGGAGGTCACAGCAGACTCAGAGACACAAGGTCCTCTACGCTCGGAAATCACCCTTCCCACAGGGAGCAGAGAAACACAACTTCATACAACATCAGTCTTTTGATTATCAATTTGACAAAAATAGTTCTTGTATTACTGTACTCGCTGCCAGCACTGTGGGAAAGCCGCTCGCTCTACTGCTGGGTGGAGCCCAGTTCCAGAAGTCAATTAGGCAACATGGGCCAGAGCCCCAGAGAAGCTGATTCTCTGACTCAGTAATTCACTGCTAGAAAGACTTCCCAGGAGAGGAATAACAATTTTGTAGATAAAGATTTATATGCAGAGATGTTCACTGTAGTATTTACATTCACATAAAATTAGAAGAATCCTAAATGGAAAACAGGAGGGGCTGGACAGTGGGGCCCCGAGGGACCATTTCGTATGACTAAAAATGACACTGTACATGACACAATGCTCAGGAGACAACACTGTATGTGCTGTGGGTTGTTAAACTTAAAACACATTAAGTAGGAAGGAAGCTACATAATTTGAGCTTCATTTTGTGAGAAAAGGTGACCAGACATCCCCAGGAAAGCCTTGCAGGAGCAGCGCTGAAATGCCAGCATCCACACCCTGACGGAACAGCCAGCCCCTTACTGTCTCCTGTATACCATGGCCGGTCCTAGGGCTCAGGAAGACCAAGATGTGAATCACACAAACCCTGTCTCTCCTGTTACCTCTGCTCTAGGGCCTGCCGAAGGGGATGTGTGTGTTCATATGTAATTTCTAAATTTTCCAGTCATCCCACGTATGACTTGGGTAATTTAAAAATCAAAAGCCAAGAGGAAGAGAGGGGGACAGGAAAAAGCAGGCGCTGAGCTGGTCGGCCCAGACGTCCAGCAGAGGGTTCTGGGGGTGGACATCAAGCTGGCATCTGGGGAGGCCTCCTGGAGGAAGAAGGCCTGGCCCCGGATGAGGCAGGGCCAAGCTGGTGGTGACCCTCGCCCACTCCCTCCAGGTGGTCTACTTCTCCGCCACCTATCCCTACATCATGCTCATCATCCTGTTCTTCCGCGGAGTGACGCTGCCCGGGGCCAAGGAGGGCATCCTCTTCTACATCACGCCCAACTTCCGCAAGCTGTCTGACTCCGAGGTGAGCACCCCTTTCCTCCCGGCCCCACTCACCAACCTCAGATGCTGGTCCAGGCCCCGGATCCGGACTGCAGCTGCGGTTATTAGTGGGACCACTTTCCACCCTCCTGCCCACAGGTGTGGCTGGATGCGGCTACCCAGATCTTCTTCTCCTACGGGCTGGGCCTGGGGTCCCTGATCGCTCTCGGGAGCTACAACTCTTTCCATAACAACGTCTACAGGTGCCAGGGTGCAACTCTGAGCCTGGTTCTTCCTGGCCCACCCTTTCCTCCCAGCTTCCCCACTGCCTTCCGGGCTGTAGCCCTGCCCCTTTCTCCAGACCCCGCCCCTTCCCTCAAGGCCCCGCCTCTGTCTTCCATGCCCCCCCCACCCCGAGGCCACGTCCACACTCCGCCCCCAGCCTTTCTCCTTTGTGCCTCCTTTCTTGCCTTCTTGGTCACCCTGCTCTGAGCCAGCCGCTCAGCTCAAGGTCACTCCTCTGGCCCCATTTCTTCCTGTCCCCGATCCTTTTGGCCCTGCCCTCCCCTGTGCCTCGGGACCTGTCCTCAGGGCCACCTGTCCTCAGGGTCACATCTCCTCCTCCTGCCGGCCCTCCCTGACTGCTGCCCCGCTGCAGCTCCCTGACTCAACGCCCTCCCTCCAGGGACTCCATCATCGTCTGCTGCATCAACTCTTGCACCAGCATGTTCGCAGGCTTCGTCATCTTCTCCATTGTGGGCTTCATGGCTCATGTCACCAAGAGGTCCATTGCCGACGTGGCAGCCTCAGGTCAGCGCCGCTAGGAGGGCCCTGCTGGCGGAGCAGACGCTGCACACCAGGGGCTATGTCAGCTTTACGACACAAGGCCCTCAAATGGTTGCTTTTGTCCTGTCAACAAAGTGCTCTCACCAAAAACTGCCCACTCTGTCCCCTCCCCGCTCCCTGCTTAGCCACCGGGGGGGGGGGGGGGGCGGGCAGCGTGCTCCACTGAGGCCCTGGAGACTCAGGGGTGAGACTTCCTGACCCTGTCTGTGCCCTTCCGAGGTTCTGGTCTCCCCTACCACAGTAGCCCCCATGTCACATCCCAGGGACCCTCCGGGTGCCATCCCTGCCCACTTTCAGATCCAGACCAGGGAGGTCCCCTGCCCCACACCAGCAGGTACTCTCCTCCCCCTGGCCCGGCCCTGCAGCCCTGGTCTGGACGCAGTCATAGCCCTGCTCCGGTCCTCACCTGGCGACCTGGCCCCCAGCCTCCCAGCAGCTCCGTCCTAAGGAGTCTTCCGAAGATGCCAGGAAACAAAGCCTGGGAAGTGGGTGGGTACTAAAGGTGTTCTGAGCGGCAAATGCCTTTTTCTCCCGCCGCCCCCAGGCCCCGGGCTGGCATTCCTGGCATACCCAGAGGCCGTGACGCAGTTGCCCATCTCCCCGCTCTGGGCCATCCTCTTCTTCTCCATGCTCCTGATGCTGGGCATCGACAGCCAGGTGAGCACCCCCACACCTTGAGCCCCCCACCTGGGGCCCCTCGGTCCAGAGCAGGCAGAGAGAGGAGGTCACACTTGGGTCCCTGTGAAAATGACCCAGACTGATAGAATGTTCCACCCCAGGACACCTGGGGGGCAACTCAGACACCATCCCCCTTTCCTGAAGGGGAAACTGAGGCCCAGAGGGAAAGAACTCTCCTGAAGTCCCAACGTGCGTGAGGGGTAGAAGGAGGCTGCACCCCAGGGCTGGCCGGGTTGCAGTGGGGCTGGGGCAGGTGGCTGACTCTGCTCCCCCCAGTTCTGCACTGTGGAAGGCTTCATCACTGCGCTCGTGGATGAGTACCCCAGGCTCCTCCGCAACCGCAGGGAACTCTTCATCGCCGCCGTCTGCATTGTGTCCTACCTGATTGGCCTCTCCAACATCACGCAGGTGGGCTCAGTAGACACCTGCACACCCAGGATTCTTGGGCCCAGGTAGAAGTTCGATGACATCAGGGAGTAAGTTTCGGGAGAAAAAGAGGACTATGAGGCCGAGAACGTTCCACAGGTTGGGAAGGACTCTGCTTGGGACAGGTGGTCATGGAGGTCTCTCTAAGGACATGACAGCTGAGCTGAGACTTTTGACGAGGGACGGCCAGGCAGGGAAGCCCTGGGGCAGAGAGCACAGCAGGTGCCAAGGCCCTGTGGTGGGCATGGGCTTGGGGAGCTGGAGGGACAGGAAGGAGGCAGATCCTGTGGCATCTGGGTCAGAGCCGACTTGACTTGGTCTCTGTTTCTTTATGTGCTATGTTATTGTCCTGGGTAACCCAGGGAAGGTTTTGGCAGGGAAAAGGCATCTTTTAACAAAAATGGCTTAGTGACCACCTCCTCGCTCTGCCTCCAGCTCTGCTGGAAATGGGGTGTCTCCCTTGGCTACCTGGACTTCTTCTTGATCCCCAGATAGCGAACATCCACATCCAGTCAAGCTCACAAAGCCTTCAGCTCTCCCTCTAGTCTATCTTCGAGCTTTCTTGCCGTAGTAGAGCCAAATAAAATCCGCCCTCTTCAGGCCCAAGCTGAGTGCTCTGGGTGCCGGGGGCACCCTCCTTTCCTCTTCCAGGGGGGCATTTATGTCTTCAAACTCTTTGACTACTACTCTGCCAGCGGCATGAGCCTGCTGTTCCTCGTGTTCTTTGAGTGTGTCTCCATTTCCTGGTTTTACGGTGAGCATCAGCCTCCTCCCTTATTCATTCATTCATTTATTCCTTTCATCAATCATCATTCAACAAACACAAGTTGAGCACCAGGCCTGCCCCCCACAGTAACTAATTTGGTCTTCACAACCATTCAATGAGGTTTTGTTTAGAAGACAAAAAAGGAACCATTAAATACATTCATTTTAATTTTTTTGGGGGGGGTACCAGGGCTCAAACTCAGGACCTTGCTCTTGCAAGGCAGGCAGAGGCACCACTGAGCTAAATCCCTGGCCCTAAATACATTCATTTTAAATGGGGCCAGCACTTCATAAATTTGGGGATAAAAAGGGTTGATTGAGGTTTTACCTAGAAAAGGGAAACCCAAACTCCTGTATTTTTTTGAAGCTTTAAAGTTTAGGGCCAGGGATTTAGCTCAGTGGTTTCGCCGCCTGCCTCGAAAGTGCAAGGACCCCAGTTCGATCCCCGGTACTAAAAAAAAAAAAAAAAGAAAAGAAAAAAAAGAAAAAAAATTAAGTTCCACTTTTGATATCAGTGAGGCTATAGGGACAAGTCTGCGCTGAGATAGAAGTAAGGAACACTGGGTTGCGTGTTTCTTTTTTTTTTTTTTTTTTTTTTTTTGGTACCAGGGATCGAACTCGGGTCCTTGCGCTTGCGCAGCAGGCGGCGAAACCACTGAGCTAAATCCCCGGCCCAGGTTGTGTGTTTCTTTTAATGTCCTTCCCTGCACATTTGGTTACCAGAGCAAATCAAGTGTTTTGGAGGGGACAAGATGCTCTGTGTCTCCTCCAGGCATACCTGCACCTCACGCCTTGTCATGGTCCCCTGTTCTCTCAGACCGGTCTAGTCAATGACTTCTTCTGTGAGTGAGAGGTGCCAGCTGGGCTCTGGTGACTTGAAGACGTTCTGCAGTTTTGTTTCTTTTAATGGGATTTGCGGTTCTTTACAACCAATCACTAGTAAGAGACCATCAGGGGAAATGCCCTATCCAGTTAACCCACTGGAGGCACAGCTAGGACAGAAGTGGTGCAGGAGGGACATGGGGAGAGGGACCACATTTGTCTGTCCCCTTCCCTGGTGGCTCTCTGTATGTTAGGGTGGTTTGCTTTCCTACTTGCTTCTGGAATGGCCTCTGGAATACTCCCAGCACAAAGCATCAGGGCTGGGTTACAAGGAGGAAACTGGGGTTCAGAGAAGTGGCGTGTTCTGCTCATGGTCACTCCTCAAGGAAGTAGGAACCCACTGTGCCCACTGCTTGTGCAGCTCCCCATTCTGTTACTCCAAATATCACAGGTGTCAACCGATTCTATGACAACATCCAAGAGATGGTTGGCTCCAGGCCCTGCATCTGGTGGAAGCTCTGCTGGTCCTTCTTCACCCCAATCATTGTGGCGGTAAGGATGAGGCAGGACCACCTGTCACAGCAGGCTATCTCCAGCCCAGGCAGCTCCATTCCAGGAAGCTGCTTCAGGGGCAAAGGCAGTAGGAGAGGTCCCCAGGGCCCTGGCCCCCCGATACCTTTCCTCTGCATCAGTTGAATGGCCCAGATGACCCATGACATCATACTCACGTCCTCAAGGACAAGGGTGATGTTGGTCCTCAACCACTGAGGGAGGGGGCTCAGCCAGCCTGTGTCACTTGGCCATAAGCTCTGGAATGCACTCAGCCTCTCTCTCCAGGCGACCTTTCCTCCTTCTCACAGAGCTGCTGGGATGGTGGCCTGGGAGGCTGAGTGGTGTCCTGCTCAGGTGGGGCTGATGTCCCTTGCTGTGTTCGCCATGTGGGGTGGCTGGAGGGATTCTGAGAGAGGCTGGCTTTCCCTGCGTCCTCCTCAGAGAGGGTGCCTGTCCTATTATGCACAGAGGTGCCTGTGTCCCAGCAGCACTCTGGGTATCAGGATGGGGTCAGCCGTGGGACAGGGTGGAGGGCCAGGGCCCTGGCTGATCCAGTCTGGGTAACCCAGTCCCTCACCCCCCTCCCCCCTCCCCAGGGTGTGTTCATTTTCAGTGCTGTGCAGATGACGCCCCTCACCATGGGCAGCTACGTCTTCCCCAAGTGGGGCCAGGGTGTAGGCTGGCTCATGGCTCTGTCCTCCATGGTCCTCATCCCTGGGTACATGGCCTACATGTTCCTTACCCTGAAGGGCTCCCTGAAGCAGGTAAGCCCCTTCCCACCCAGCTGAGAGGCTGCTGGTCCCCTCCCCCACATGCTGACATGGCCTTGTCCCTGAGGAGCTCCTGGTCTAGTTGGGGAGACAACCAGCTGAGAGCTATGGTGCTGGAGTGAGAGGGGTTCCACCAGGCTATGCCGAGGAGAAAGGCCCCCGGAGCTGGGTTGAGAGGATTCACCAAGGCTTCCCGGAAGAGGGGATCTCTAAGGAGCATCTGAGAGTCAACCAGGTGTAGTGGTGGACACAAAAGGAATGTTCCTAGAAGGGGGGAGGGGCACACAGCATGTACAAAGGTCCAGGGGTATAAATGGCATTTGGCAAACTGAAAGGAGATGGGTATGGCTGAAGAGCAGAGAGGAGCAGGTAGGGGCAATGTAAGAAAGTCAGGTGAGATCACAAATGGCTTTGGAAATCGGGACAAGAATTTTTTTTGTTTTCCAGTACAGGGGATTGAACTCAGGACCTTGTGCTTGCAAGGCAGGCATGGTGCCACTGAGCTAAATCCCCAGCCCAGGACAAGAACTTTAAACTCTATCCTGAGGGCTATGGGGAGCCCTTGAGTGTTTGGAGCAGATGGAGGGCGGGGTCAGACTTGTGGAGGCTTCCTCTGGATGTCACTCTGAGGCTTACTGAAGAGAAAGTGTGCTCTTACCCTCCAGGAGAGGCAGCAGCCCACTGTCACACGCAGGCTGGGATCCCTTAACCAAATCCTTGGGACCAAAAGTGTTCCTGATTTCAGAGTTTTTCGGATTTGGAAATATTTGCATACCAATGATGAGATATGGGGTAATTTTTGCCTGACGGTAACTTCAGCCAATACTTTAGCACACCTGTGTTTTGCCTCACCATCTGTCACACCAGGTCGGGAGTGTTGTGTTGGCACTCAGAACTTACAGACTTGCGGGCACTGGGTTTCAGATTCTCAGACGGGGGCCACTCAAGCCGTGCTGCATGCACACCAGCTCTTTGTTAATTTGCACAGAACTGGGAACGAGGCAAGGCAGTGCAGGTACCAGGTGGGGACTTGTAGGGCCAGCACAGGCAGAGGTGACCTCCAGGAGGGTGGAGAAGCCCACCATGGAGTCCACCAGGAAGCCATCTGCTCAGGATTCCCCTGAAGCTGTCTCTGCCACAAGGGGGCGCTCTAAGGTCGAAGACACAGGATTCTGTGCAGCCCCTGGGGTTGCCTGGACAGTCTGTTCCTGTTGCAGATAGAGAAACTGAGGCCCACAATGGGAAGCTGCTTCCCAGCCCTTGCAGTGAGCTGTTCGCAGAGCTGGAACTCAGCCTCTCTGTCCAACTCCAGGTCCAAAGCTTTATCTTTCCAAGAAAAGGCTTCGGGTCTTAGATAAGACTGGCAGATAGGGAAGAATGTATGTTCTAGTAAAGGAAGGCAAACAATTAGCAAACTAAAACTCCCAGAAGATGCGTATGTGTCTCATGGGAAAAAAGTGAAGTAGGGGCTGAGAGAGTGAGGGAAGCAGAGAGCAAGCTGCACAATCATCTGAAAGGATCCACATGCAAAGGCCCTGGGGCAGAGTATCTGGCATATTTGAGGAGGCCAGTGTGGCTGAGTGGATCAGCAAGGGTGGAGAGCGGAGGACATGAGGCCTCCGAGGTGGACCGTGCCCAGAGAGCCTCACACCTCCCTCCCACGGTACCCACAGCGCATCCAGGTCATGACCCAGCCCAGCGAGGACATTGTCCGCCCAGAGAATGGCCCAGAGCAGCCCCAGGCCAGCGGCTCAGCCAGCAAGGAGGCCTACATCTAGGGCTGGGCGCTTGCAACCCGATGCTGTCACCCCCACCTGGCTGAGCCCCAGTGACCGCCACTTGATGACTGGACATCTTCCATCTGCACCTACCTCAAGTGGCGCGTCCTGACACCATCAGCTCTCAGAGGGGCGAGGGGGACAGCTGGACCTGAGCAGCCCCCACCACAGACAGCGGCACCCAGCAGCTGCCAGTGCCTGGGGCTGGTGACCTTTTTTGTGGGGCCCCTAAGCACCAAGCAGCCGACTAGCATTTGTGGCAGCCATGGTAGCCCGTTTTTAGCCTGCCAGCGAGAGTGGCCGGGAGAGGCCACACACGCTCCTGGCTTTTAGTCGTTTTCCTGACTGTTCTCTTACTGCCAGACCCTGACTGTTACATGGGACTCTGCAGGAAGCCGGTTCTGCCAAATGCTGCTTGGGACCCACAACATGGGCATTTTGTTCAACGGGACCACAGGGGCTTCAAGCTAAGGGGCAGGAGCCAGTGGAGCTCTGACTCCTCAGTTGTGGGCTTCTCCCTCCCGAGGCAGCTGACACAATACCCGAGACCTCAGGTGGTGTCCCCTCCCCTTGTCCCCAAGCAGATGGGTCCCTGGGCAGCTCCAGACTGTCGATTTTGGATTGGACCTCGCCCACGTGCCCCTGCCAGAAGGGCTCTGCGTGCTGGAAAAGTGCTCCATGCACAGCTGATTTCTCTTGGTGGCCACTGAGGGCGACATCCCCAGCAGGGGCGCTTGTTCACTGCCCACCTTTACAGAGCACAAAACCCTGCGGAGAGAATGAGGGGAAGGGGCTGTCCCAATCCAGGCAGACCCAGCTGTCCCTCAGGCTCCCTCTTACACTGTCACTCGCACTGCCACCCTGTTTTCAGCTGCTTCCTCCTCTCCTTTCCTCAGTCCTCCTCAGCAGACGCTGCCACAACCCACCCAGCCCACAAACTGAGGCGCCTGTGTCCTGCCCAGCCTCCGCCCCACCCCACTGCAGGCTTCCAAAGCCAGCCATGCTTTCTCGGGAAGTGGGATGTGTCCCTTTCAGGAATTGGCTTGGTGGTGTTGGTGGTGAAGCTGAGTCTTGGGGGTCTTAGGAGCTCCCATGGACGGGCTTTTGCATTGGCCAGGAGAAGGGGTCCCCATAACAAAGCAGAAGTCTCGCCCCGTAGCACCTTAGCTCATTAGCTTGAAAACTGTGTTTCCTGACTAATCCTTATTAACTATGGTAAATACTGTGACTGTGGGTTTTTTAGTCTCTTCTCATGCTCATCCAGAAGCAACCAGCATACCAGCTCTTGCAATAAGGTATTACCCTCAGAGCACCCAGCACATTATTGTAGAGAATTTTAAATGTCTGTATGCACATAGGTACGCACACCATGCACATATGTCCCCACATGTGGCATGAAGGGTCTGCAGCCTTCCCGAGGCCACCTGGAAAATAGTTGCATTGCCAAGGCGTCCCAGGCCGTGTGGGGAAGCCACACTCCAGCTGCATCCAGTTGTGAGGTTCTAGGCTTAGGATGGAAGGACCCGCCACTGTGTCTCCCAGCCCCACCCCACTGTCCATGTGTGCGTTCTCTTAGGGGACAGGTGGGGACTCCCTTTTCTTTATCTTCAATGTGAAACTGAGACAGTCTTTCTATGATAAACACAGTATATTTAATGTTTGTAAGCTCCTCTAAACTTCGATGTTTGGCAAGAAATCCCCTAACTGATTTCCACCCAAACTTACCTTATAGAGCACAATATTAAGTCTCATACATTTACTGTGAGATCTGTGAATATGTGTAACTTTTTTTTTTTTTTTTTTAGTATTTGCCCGGGGTGGGGGGAGAGATATTGTATTATCATATATGCTTTTTTTTGCAATAAGGATTTATTCTCAGAACATCAAGTAAATCTATCTCTATATTAAAAAATATATGTAATATATACATATTCAAACTATATACAGAGCCTGTTTTAAAAAATTACAGTATTATTTAGTAAAATTATCTGTTCTATGGACCAAATGTAAAATATTTATAAATGAAGATGCATTTTAAATGTCTATAAATGGTGTCATAACTAGAGCACGGGCGTTATGTAAGTTTCTAAGAATTTAGAGGAAAAATAATAAAGGTTCTATGATATGCAATATCCGACCTTCACTTCTTATGTGTGGTGGCACAGTAGCCTCTTTCATCAAGACAACACGTAGACCCCAACCATTTTTCCCCAACAGAAAGGGATTTGGGCTTAAAATCTAGCAAAATGGAAGTGGACTTTTCCCTAATTGTAGGATGAGTGGGTAGAAAATGACTCTGAGCTACATGAGAAGGTGCTTTCCCTGTGTAAGAGGTCAGCGAAATAAAGGTCTAAAACCAAAGGATAAAAGCTAAAACTGCTGGGCTTGGAATTTAGCTCAGTGGTTTCGCCACCTGCTGCACAAGCACAAGGACCCGAGTTCGATCCTCGGTACCAAAAAAAAAAGTTAAAACTGCTTTCATTAATGACAACCATTCATTTGCTTATTGATCTCAACACTTCATAATTTTTTGGTTTAAAAACATCTCATTTAGGAAAATGTGACTCCACAGAGAAGTCATAAGGACAGTTGCATAGATGGCCACACATACCACATCCAGTCACTAGTGGTTGGCTCATCTGTTTTCCTTCTGTCCCTTTTGTCCCTGTCCATCAAGGTCCCATCTGGGAAAGGGGCCCTGAGAATATGACAGGATGAGGGACCCATCACAGGCACAAGGGTCAGACGAGGGTCTGAAAGGGGGGCTGAGCAAATCTCCCCCATATTCCTTTCCACCTCTTGCACACGGTCTTGGAGGTGCCCCATGAGCACAGGATTCCAGTGGGCACATGCAGAGGGGCTGGGTGAGACTCCAAGCCACCAAGAAGGTGCTCAAGCCCCAGTGACCAGGGAACCCACATATTCTTCCCTGAAAGGGGGCTGTGGTTTGAAATGAGTGTTTCCTACCAAGGGCATGGACTGGAGCATTGGTCAACAGGGTGGTGGTATTAAGGTGGGGGGACCACATGCCATCCCCCACGAAGCCCTCACAGGAGCCAGCACCAAGCTGTTTGCACTTCCACCCTCCAGAACTGGGAGCCCTTTTCTCTTAAGCCCTTTTCCTCCTAAGTTACACAGCCCCAGGCATTTTGTGATAGCCTTGGAAAACAAACTAACAGCAAGCTATACACGTGTGGCCAGCCAGGCACATGAAAGACCACGAATCCCTATTTTCCCTTTCTTACTCATAATTAGACAAAAGTAAAGAGCATTGGCAGAATGTGTGCATCTCAAGAAGTGAAATAAATTTTGAATTTAATTTTGGGCAGCTTTCCACTATTCGGGCAAGAATGAAATGCATGTGCAGGTACCAGCCTTGGAATATGCATATATTGTGTAATTGCACATTCAAGCTAAATGTGCGCATATTTCTGTTTGCATATTATAAAGATGAACAGGAAACTTTACGCTAATACTTTAAAATTTCTTTTATTTAGAATAAAAATAGCAAATAAATAAACATCAGGATTAGTTGAAAGACCGCAGAAGGAAAGAGAGACTCTATTTTATACTACAGCTTCACTTTTCTCCTGCTTTTGGAGCCAATGGCCTTGCTCTTTCCTTTAGTACCACTATCTGCAGGTTACAACTCTGGCCCTGGCAAGCCTCCAGGAAAGGGTTATAGTTTGGGTATTGAGTGTCTGTCCCCCAGAATTTGTTAACGTCTCATGTGCCAGGCCTCTAAAAGGTAGAGCCTAGTAAGAGGAAGTGAGGTCACGGGGGGTGTGTCCCAGAAGGGACGCCCCGCCCCTTCCCGTCTCTGCTGCTTCCTGCTGAGGTAAAGTGGCTCCCTTCTCCAAGACATGCTCCTGCTCCAGTCGCTGCTTACTGTGGCCAGAACCACAGGAGCGGGAAGTCCGGCCTGAATCCTCTGAAACCATGAGCCAGAGCAGCCCTTCTTCTTTCACAGGTATTTTGTCCCACGATGGACACAGGAAGGGCATGGCTGGGCGAGAGGACCGTGGGGAGGAGACAGGCGTGGAGCTGCGAGACAGGGACTTGGGGGAATGGATACCAGCTCAGCCCAAGCTTGACTCCTGCTGTCTCCACTTTCGCAAGATTATTATCACTACTTTTTCACTAAACCATTCGAAAATAACTTGCTGGTTTTGAGCCCTGCTCTTCCTAAGTAAACAAGTCTTCCAAGAGCCAGGACCTTCTTGACATAACCACAAAACACTTATCAAATCCAGGGGACGTTCCCTGCTGCCGCGCTGTTGTCCAGCCCATAGCCACAGGCCTCCAGCTGTCCTGAGGATGTCCCTGAACACGGTGCACTGCCTTGGCGTGTCCCTTAGCAGGCATTTTTGAGCACCTGTTATCTGCCAAGCAGAGGTGACCCTGCCACCCCCAGACTCACAGGGGACTGATCTGGCGGCCCCAGGGCCTCATACCTGTCCCCTCTGAACAAGAAGCAGCAAGGCCTCTGTTTCCATCAGCCTGTGCTTTTCTCTGAAGCAACAGCGGGGATTTTTATAGGCATTTCAGAAACAACACAAAGCCAGACACAGTGGCACACACCTGGAATCCCAGCACTCTGGGAGGCTGGGGCAGGAGGATCGAAAGTTGGAACCCAGCCTGAGGAATTTAATGACTTACAAAACCCTGTCTCAAAAGATAAAAGGGACTGCAGATGTAGCTCGGTGTGAAGACCCTGGATTCAATCCCCAGTACTGCCAGTCAATGAAGGGGGGCGGGGGGAGGCGCCACGCCCTGGTTGAGGGCCCAGTTGCCTCCTCCATTTCTGCGGCTGCTACTTTCCTCTCTTCCCCTCCTTCCCTAGCTAAACTAACGAAGCAACCCGAGGTGGAGGCTCACACTCCAAACAGGACCACAAGGACTTCCCGCAGGTCCCCTCTGCCCCTCCTGCCTTCTGCTTTCTTCAGGCTCTCTCCCGGCTTCTCCCCTCTCCAGCTTCTCAGGAAAGTCAGAAACAGGGCAGAGGGCTCAGGGTTGGGAAGAATCTTACTAGACATCTTACTGGTTCTGTTCAAAGCTTGAATTATTTTTAGGAAAGTGCTCTTTCAAGGGCAGTGTACACTCACTGCCGCTGGAGAGCTGGTCTGAAGGCAGATTTTGATCCACTAGGTCTAGGGTGGAGTCTGAAGTTCTGTGTTTCTAACAAGTGCTCATTTACTGCTCATGGACCTTTACTCATACTTTGCATAAAAAGGATCTAAAAAGGAGCCATCCATTTTCTTAAATATCCATGGGGCATTTACCACCTGCTTAAGAAACTGACAGAATCTTTAACTCAAACTGACTACAAAATAAAGAGAATTTGTTAATTCATAACAATTTCCAGAAGTTCAGGTATAGTGAGATCCAGGTGCACAAAGGCTGGCATCAGGAATTAGTCTCTGTCCACCTCTCAGTTCTGCCTTCTTCCAGCCTTGCTCTACCCTCCAATTGTCCATACTCTTAATGATGGAAAAGAATAGGCTTCCAGCACCTCCAAGCTTACATCCTGCCAGATTGGCAATCACACTATAAAGTAAGCATCTTGTCCCGTAATAAGTCTATCACAGTCCTGGGATTGGGTCTCATTGGATCAGCCTAGGACACATGCCCATCTCATAGCCAGTCAATGTGACCAAGAGCATGGAATGTGCTGAATACCCAGGCCTGGTCATCTGGTCACCCCTTGAGCAAGAGGCTGGACCCGTTACACCAAGCACATGGACTGCAGGTGAGAGAAGAGTTGGGTCCCAGGGCAGATGGGGTGGAGTGGAGGCCCACAGAGCATGACACCCACTCATCAAAGAGCCCAAGAGAGGCCTTCCTTGACAAGGGCTCCGGTGGCTGTGCCATTTGCTGTAGCTTCTGCATCTGGGTCCATGCGGACACAGATGGGGAAGTAATAGGTGCTTCTGAGACAGGTTTCGATGATCTGGGTGATTCTTCAGCAGACCTAGAGGTGGACATCAGGAACACCTGGTCCAGACCGCCATCCTTGCTCACTTGGATCATGGGACTCCTGACTTGTCTCCTCCCTCCAGTCCCACCCACCATGGTCCACTGCTGCACCAGCAGCCAGGGTGAGTTCTTAAAACACCTCAACCACAGCTTGTGTCCCTGCTCTAGCTCTTCCACGGGTCCTCCCCATGCCTCGAGAACTGTCTTCCTCCCTCCTCCAGCCTGTGCTGTTCTTCAGGATGTGGCCAATACCTTCCTCGCCTCCATGCATGCCACTCACACTCTCCTTCACAGCCTGTGGCCTTGGAGGCCATGTCTCTGTCCCTTGAGACCTTCAGACTTGTCTGCTCCAGGACCTTCCCTCTGCCTGGGCTCTGTAGGATCACCAAGGAAGCATCAAATTAGCTGGAAGGCCAGCCTGACTTGCTGGAAAAGGAGCCACCTAGGCAGGGAACTTGAGGATGCCTGAGCCATGGGGGACAGTGTCCCAAGCCACCCAGAGCCGGAGGATGAGGAAGAGTGGGGGAGGACAGGATTAGAATAAGCAGAGGTGCAGCCACTGGAACACTGGGGCCTGGGCAGAAAAACACCTGGTCTTCCACATCAGTGAGGCCTCAGGCCTTTGTACCTGCTGATCCTCCTGGCCTGCTTGCTCCCTGATAACCTCCTGCCTGGCTCCCTGCCTTCATTCAGGTCCCTGCTCTAATGTCACCTTACTGAGCCAATGACCACATTAGCTAAAATGACACTCCCCCATCTCTTTCTATGCCCCCAACCCTACTTTCTTTATCATATGTTCAACATTCATATGTTTTTAATTTATTGTCTGTCTCCCCCACCCCCTGCTACACTCCCACTATGGAGGAAGCTCTGGAGGAATGGGGAGTTTTTCTAATTCACCTTGGTGTCATAAATGCCCAGAATAGTGCCTGATACACAGAAGGAGCTCAAAAAATGGGTGGGTGGGTGGGCAGATGGATGGTGGATAGAGGGCAGTGACAGGGTGGGCTGACAGATGGTAGATAGCTGAACTCTGGATGAGTGGAAGGATGGATGGTGGATAGATGGATGATGATGGATGGATGAATGCCAGGTAGATGGATGGGTCATGGGTAGATGGCTGGCTGGCTGGACTGTGGATTGTAGACAGATAGATGGATGTGTGGGTAGATAGATGGTGGGTAGGTGGATTGATGGATGAGCGGGTAGGTGGGTGAATGGTGAGTGGATGGATGGTGAATGAATGGTTAGATGGCAGATGGACATGTGGTGGCTGAGTGGACTGCTGGGTAGATAGGTGGGAGGTGGGAGGTGAGGGAGTAGACAGGGAATAGCAGTATAACAAGTGTCAAGGAAACTGGCTCTGTGGTCAGACGGCCCTCCGCGTGAGCTCTCCACACAGCTCTGAACATGTCACAGTCTCTCCGTGCCCCAGTTTCCTCACAAAATTGTTGAAGTGCACTGAAACGAAAGAGGGAAGGCACATAGCCCCGTGCCCGGCACAAACCGAGCATCAGCAAACAGCGAGTGTTATTAGAGGAGCCGTTCCAGAAATGTTTCCACCCCCACCTACCCATCCAGAGCCCTGGGTTTAAAGGATTTGTCTGTCAAACCGTCACTTACTAATTAAGCCACTTCCCTTCCCCCCTCTTTATTAATCTGATGTGGTGCTAATTAGAGCCCCTGATTAGCGTGGGGAACCGGGGCGCCAGTACCGCACTGATGGCATTCCAGCAGCAGCATGGAAATGTGGCATTTGGGTCCCCTGCCTACCCTGGTGCTGGGTGATCATGTGATTTCCCCCTCTCTCTAGTATGGAACAGAGCTTCCAGATGTCCACCGGTGTCCCCATGGACCCTGCCCTGTCCTGGGCAGCAGGTGGGGGTCCTTAAATGTTTGGTTACAGTTAATGCTTCTCTTTAAAGCCCAAGCCATCCGGGGCAAACAATTTCCAGGCCCCTTGGTCCTGCTCACAGAAAACATCACAAAAGTGCCTCACAGCTCAAGTTGTGTGGCCTCCTCTGTCCCCTTTGGATAAACTCCCAGCAGCAGAAGAGTGGAGTCTAAAGACCTGTGCACTGGGTGATGGGGTGGGGCGCTCTCACCATGCAGTCCAAGCTTCTCTCAAAATTATGGCGAGCCTCCTGCCTCAGTTTTCCAGTGCGGGGATAGAAGGCATGTGCCACTGTGCCAGCAGATTGTGCATGTTGAAGGCCGCTCATAGTTGGTAATGAATTATCCTCAAGGGAGTCATGTTCATTTTCACTCTCTGCAGGAGAAGTGTGTGGTAATGATCAATTCCCCATGCCCTTTCCAAAACCAGCACTTAATTTTTAAATATTTATTTTTCAATTTCACAGCTAAAAGTATCTTAAATATGAGCTTATATAGCTTTGAATTTTAATGATGGACTTCTTTTTTCAAGTGGTGGTTTCTGGCCTTTTGTATTTATTTTGTAAATTTGCAGCTCATAGGCACCTTGGTTTTTGTGTACACCTTTAAAAAATACACTCTGTCAGTCACCTTTCCATTGCTGGGACACGACACCTGAGAAAACTTGCCATTTCAGAGGTTTCGGTGCATGGTCACTCGGCCTATGGCAGCACAGCACATGGCAGCAGGAGCCTGTCTCCTGGCAGACAGGATCCAAAAGGAGACCGGAAGGGGCAGGTTCCCCTGGACCCTCACTTCCTCCCACCAGGCCTCACCTTCTGAAGATTCCACCAGTTCCAATGGCGCTGTGGGCTGGGACCCAGCCTTCAACACAGGGACCTTAGGTGACACTCCAGACCCAGAGTATAGCAACTATTAAGGATGTTAACACTCCCTCACGTAGGCTAGAATGCACATTAGCCAGGTGTGGTGGGAGACACCTGTAATCCCAGCACTGGTTGGGGTGGGGTGGCTGAGACAGGAGGATCACTGGGAGTTCAAGGCCAGCCTAAGCTACATAGCAAGACCCTGTCTCAAAACAATAGGAAAACAAATATTAAATCTTAAGCAGCAAAATCACAGGATATAGGAATATATCACATGGACACCTATATTACGAGTGTGGCTAAGTATATTCTCCCAAAGAAGGCTTCTTCCTGTTTCCCACTTCCTGGCTTCTCCAACTCCATCCTTGACTGTCCGACATAGATTTTGAGCTAAAGGTTCAAAACCTCTAGTTGTCTCCTTTCCAACACCAGGTTGGTCCAGCTGCCTTCGTGGGTGAGAAGTGTTGAACTCCCATCCACTGCTCCTTGCATCTTCCCATCCAGGCTGCAGACAGGTGGCTTACAAGTGTCAGGAGTTGAGACTAGGGCCTGGGACACAAACACACAGACATGCCATTCTGATGACTTTCTGTCAGAGCGACAGCTATGCCCTCCCCCTGTCCCCACCAGCCATCCCATTCAGGACCCTCAGAGCCACCTGAGATGCATCTCTGCCAGTACTGGGGCAATGCTGGGGGACAGGCAGGAGTGACAGTGGGGCTGGTGATGCGACTACTCCCTAAGGCCTGCACCCTCCCATGCACTTCCTTCTTTGCCCGCAGGGCAGTGCAGGAGCACAGACATCTGACCCCTCGTGTCCCTCCCCCACGTTCATAGTGTCCACTGGCTCCTGCGGCACCTTTACTCTGACATCTGTCCACGCCTCCATCTTCATCCCAGACGTGGATATTATTATAGGAAAAACACAATAAATTGCATTTTTTTTCAAGAAATAAAACTCACAAAGTCACATGAGCTCACCATGCGGCGGCAGACAGCTGACTGACAAGCACATCTCATTCCAACGCATGAGCAATTGAGGGCTGTGCATATTTTGCTTTTGGAGGAAAGTTTTCTTGTGCTAAAAAAGGCTACTGGGACCTGAGTAGGGACTGGCAGTGACAGAGGGACAGCTCTAATTATACCAGCAGGTCTTGAGAGGAATCCAGGGTTCCTGCCTGTTTTCCGCATCTGGTGTTCTGCTGGAGGTCGGCATTGGTTCAGGTCTGTGGGCATCTGGACAGACAGGGCAGCAGTGCCCATATGGAACAGAGGAAGGACAGGAGTGGGCAGGGACACCCTGAGCCACATGGACCACCATGCCGTGCTGAGGCCACCTTATCTAGACAGGGAGCCCCAGTGCAGAGGCCATCGCTTGAGGGCCTTGTCCTCCACTGCTCCTTGGCTGGGAGCCCACGGACCTCAGGAGTGCAGGGATGAGGACAGGATGTCCACATTCCCCGAGAGCCCTCTGTGTGCCCAGCTCCTTGTCGTGGCATATGTCGACCCTGCCACACCCCTGTAAAAAGGCAGGGGCCATCACCTCCATTGATGGAACAATCCTCAGGCTCAGAGAGGGAAGGCAAAACCCACAGAGACACATAGCTGTAAGTCCTGGGAGAGGACACCTAAGCCCAGATCTTCCCTCGGCACCAGGTGGCCTGTAGGGGCAGAGACACAGCAAGGGCAAGGCCAGGAGCTCAGACCAGGCAGATTAAGGCAAGAGAGTCGTCCAAAAAGCCCATGGAATGGACCTCAGGGCCTCCACTCGAGCTGGGACCTCTGGGAGGAGCTGGCCTGCACTGACCTTGTAAGCCTGCAGGGGGCACCAGAGAGCTGCAGAGTGGCCAGGACCCTGGAGCAGCTGCTTAGCCTGGAAGCTGAGTACAGATCTGGAACTGCATCTTGGAAGATAAGAGCTTTGAGCCTCCAGTGCATGGGAGAAGCAGAGGGAGCCCTGGTTATAGAGCTGATCTCTGACCCAACCCAGACACTCAGACACAGGAAGTCTGTGTTGAAGCCAGGCACGGCATGCTGATAGCCCCAGCCTCTGCAGTGGAGAAAGTCAGCAACCAGCACAGCCAGAAACACTGTGCTGGTTCCCTGATTTGGACCCTGGGATATGGGACCCTCACCTGGGTCCCCTCCCTGCTGTCTGTAGGAATCTGTGCCCTGCAGCCACATCCAGCCAGGGTCTCACACACTGATGCATACTTACCTGGGGTCCTTTCTTGCATGCACGTGTGCACACACACACACACACACACCGTGCCCTGGAGCCCCTGGACACCCAGCTGGGCACAGCACCCATGTAGGCATCATACTTCCCAGTTCGTCCCCACCTGCACTGCCAGCCCCAGAGCATGGGACCATGGGGCTCACCAGAGCATCTGAGTGCACAGACTCAGTGCAGCTGTCCCCACTGATCAGTTAACTCAGTTTCCAACTCGTGGCCTGAGAATATTACATGGAATTTCGAAGAAATAACCCACCTGATTTAAATCAAGTCCCATCCTGGGCACCACAATGACTCCCGACACTCAGCTGCAACCCACATGCACCCCACACTTTGTACACTTCAGAGCCAGCTCGGTCACCCTGCTGGGGTTTAAGTAACCCTTCCACAGCAGCCTGTCACCTTGTCACAATGCCCCTGTCACGGCCTACTTTATCTGGTCTCCCAGACATCCCCCAACTCTCACCGTCACAAGCAGGGGAGCACAGTACGGCAAGGTACCTTGAGAGAGACTGTGCTCTGCTAACTTATTGCAGCCAATTGTTCTCTTTTGTCAGCTGTTTCAATCTCTTATTACACCTGACTTATAAATTAAACTTCCCCAGAGGTATGCATGTGTAGGAAAAGCATATAGATGCAGGGTTCTGTGCTGCCTCTGGTTTCAGGCACCCACTGGGTGACTCAAAATGTGTCCCGTGTGGGAGAGGGGGTGCTGTCATGACAGAAGTTGAAATGGGGTGGAGACAGGTGAACAGGTGAGGATCCGGAAGGGGAGATAGAACAGTTGTGGTGGCGAGGGTGGAGCGCCAACTGGATTGGCCTTGGGTTGGCCTGGGGTTGGAGGAGTCCACTTCTGCGTGTCTGGGTGGGTCGTGGATGTGCAGCCTTGAGGTCTGTGTCTGATGCTTCCCCTCTGGCACTGTTCCCTGTTCTTCTTCCCAGCTGTCATGAACTGAGCGGCTCTGCTCCACCACACCCTTCCACCATGATGTTTCTGTCTTGGAGCAGCCAACCATGGACTGAATCCCCCAAACCGTGAGCCAAATTAGACCTATCTTTCTCTAAGTTGTGGGGGTCAGATGTTGTGTCTCAGCAATGTGAAAGCTGCTAATACAAAACTCTTCCTCGAAGAAACAAACAGGTATAAACACAGGTGAATGAGGGTATGAATTTAGAAGTAGGTAACTAAGAGCAGAACTGCACTTTAGAGCTGATTTCCCAGCTCTGGCTGCAGGCAGGAACTCCAGGCTTCCACCTCAGCCCCTCACTCAGAGCTTTGACCTGGGCCTGAGATACAGACTTCATACACCTGGTGGTTGGGGCTGAGTGCTTCTGCATGTGCGGCCCCAGACTGTCAGCATTGGCTTCACCTGCAGACGTCCATGGTTCTCAGGCTGCACAGTAACCACGCGGTGCAGGAGGCACAGGTCCCAGGTGCTGCTGCTGCTGCCACAGACAGGGTTACACTCTGACCCTGGAGTCCTCTGCCTGCTGATCCTCTGTGGAGAGAGGAGACCGGAGCTTGCTGGTCTCAGGTAGGAAGCCCTTGGCAGTGGCACTGAGCTGCCCTGTCAACTGTCCTTTCCCTTGATTCCTGTGTCTGTAGATGAGGTTCTGAGGCCTAGGAGGAGCACACTTTGCTCAAATCCTGAGATCCACCTTGGAAAAGCCACATGGGCAGGGTGTCTCTTGAGCGTCGTGGTGTGCCAAGGGCTTCGGGCAGGCCTCTGCAGCCTAAGGTAGGGTCTCTGGAGAAAGGTGGGGCTCAGCAACAACCCACCTGGCCCAAGGCCAGCAAGGGCTAGCCAGGCACCCCGCCCCCTGCCCTCATGGAGGAAGCAGCTCTTCTGTGCCTCCTGCGCCCTGGGAGAAGTGGCGAGGAGCAAGCCAGGCAAAGGAAGCCGCTGCTGGCACCCCGTCACCTCCACCCCTGGGAGCTTCCTGCCTGGGTGTACTGAGCTCCACACAGCCTCTCCTGCTGTCTCTGGAGATGGTGGGAAGACAGTGGCTGGGACCAGCAGCCACTCCCCCTCCTCCACAGTGCCATCCTCAGGAAACCAGGCTCAGCCTGGGCAGGGAGCTTGGAGTGGCCTGCACCGGCCATGTGACTCTGTTCCCCTGGGAAGATGGGGAGAACTGGCATGGCAGTGACTCTGGCCAACAAGGGTGGGGGTAGACTGCTGTGGAACTGGGAAGGGTTGGGTCTTAGATGCTGGGCAAAATAAAAAGAGGGATGGAGAGATGAAGAATGGTTTAGCGGAAACAGGACACAGAAGAGCAGCAAGGCTAATGGTAAAATCTGGGTGGGAGGTGCATAGATGTGCACTCTGCTATTTCAGCTTTTCTGTATGTTTGGAACTTTGCATCAGAAAATGTCTAAAAAGAATCGTGCTTGAGTATCTTGTCAGGCTGAATTTATTCATACACTAAGACTGCACAGTTCTACTTCTAGACATGTATTTAACAAATATAATCCCAGCACTTGGAAGGCTGAGGCAGGAGGATCACCCCAACTTCAAGGCCATCCTGGGCTCATACTGAGTTCAAGGGCAGAGTGAACTATAGGATGAGAGCCTGTCTCAAACAAAAGACATTAAAAGTAGAGTGTGGTTCCCTGCATGTAAAGCTGGTGAACTGGCTAAGCCAACCACGGTGTCAGCTTCCGGCTTCTGGAGATGGGTATGGGAGAAGTGACCAGAGCAAGCAGGGGGGCTCCTGGGGAATTGATCACAGCTGCTTGTTGCTCTGTGAGGCTTCAGGGAAGGGACTGAGTAGTGCACTTATCTTGTACACTTTTCTTCACATGCATGCTCTTGGTGGGAAAAGGCCCCTTGCCTGGCCCTCTCTGCAATGGGGTGGGGGTGACAGGTGGAATTTCTGCCACCTTCCAGTGACCACACAGGGACGAGCCAGCTCTCTGATGGCAGAGCAGAGAGGCGGAACAAGGTGCCTTTGTCTGCCTGACCCTGGTCCTCCTCGAGGATCTGCAAGGTAAACAACTGCCCCTGCTGGCCACGATGATCCTAACCCAGACTGGGCCCAGCTAGTGCTGAGCAAGGGTGGAACCAGGGCAGCCCCGCCCCAGTTGCTGTTGGAGGAACTGAGCAGGGACTACAGAGGTGCACTTGCTGGACTGCAGCGCTGTCATGAGCTAGGCCCCTGGCACCTTGTCCTGCACCCGGGCCAGGACTCCCAAGCTGAGCAGCTGCTCTGCGAAGCCCCTGTCACCCAGGTGTGGGGACCAGTTCCCCTCCCACAGCCGTGCCGGGTCGGGTCGAGGAGGCACTCAGGAGTCTCCACTGACTACCCAGCAGTAACCAAGGCAGGGCTGGCCCCGAGTGCTCCACACATGGCCCCGTGTCGTCAGCTATTCACCTTGCTTCCACGTTAACCCAATCCACTTCACTGGGGGGATGAACTGACAGAGCCCTTGAGACAACTCCGCAGCCCAGGACCCCTTACCCATCCGCCTCTGCCGTGCAGCTGCTGCCGGAAGCCCTGCCCATCTTCCTCCCTTCAGCCCACAGACTAAGACTGCTCTGTCTGGGCTCAGCTTTGGTGCTCCCCTCTGGGAACACTCACTGCAGAGTGAGTGCCCACGGGATTCGCCAACCTGGCAACAAAGATGAGGACCCTTGTAACTGGCATTCACCAGGGAGGCTTAGGCAAGTTGGAGTGTGTGTTCACCCAGCCTTCACCACAGCCCTGTGCAATCGACCTTCCTGTCCTATTCCCAGGAAGGAACCAGACGTGCAAAGACATGAGAAACGTCCTCGCCCAACTCCCCACTACTTGTTACACCAAACACCAAATTATTCTCTCTTTAAGCCTAGTAACTATAGCAACCAGAGAGCTCTTCCTCATCCATTGCATCTACAAACATTTTAAAAAATCATAGCTGGCAGCACTGGCAAAGTGGCAGGGAAATAAACACATCGATGGGCAGAGGCATAAGTTGATGTAGAAACCTGGACACAAGGTGGCATTAAGAGTGTGTGATCCCAGAGCACACTCGGTGCTCCAGAGCATGGAGACTCTGGTGGCGCCTGGTGGGTGATTGTGGTCCAGCCAGTCAGGGCACAGCTGGGCGGACTGCGCCAGCCTTCAGCCTCTGAGTAGCAGGCAGTGGCTGTGGGGCATCCTTGGGGCTCTCCAAGTGCCCTGCCTGGCCAGTCCTGCTAGTGTCTTGATGCCCATTTTGCTCTGGGTGGTGTGAGAAGCCTCGCCGTGGAAGTTTAGGGCCAGAAAAAGAGCTTGAGTGTGCGTGAGCTGGACCTCGGAGCCCCGGCCCTCAAGCCGCTGAGAACTGTTCTGTCCAAAACAGTGAACTGGGGGCCGAGAGAGGTCAGTTTTTCTTTTCCCCTCCCCTCCTCCATGGGGAAAAATTGCAGGCAATTTTGCATAAGATTTTTTTAAAGGTTCATAAACTACAAGATAAGTATCTGGGAGCGTGGGTTTGCACCCCAGATGCAGGGCACATGCTTCTCCACAGAGACCTAACAGGGAAACTCTTGACTAGAGGGGACGGAAGGTCAGTGGTCTCCACCTGGATGTAGCTAATAGGAGGCATTTATGGACAAAAAATAAAAGTTTGCATAGAAGTTTATTATTAAAAGATTATCTCTAGAACAAAAAGTTACAATGTTAAATTTGGAGAGAAGAAAGAGTAATAGAGTTAGTTAAATCATCACTTATGGCAATAGTGAATCTATGAGTATTACCTTAAATTGATAATTCAGTAACCCCTCCCCACAGCTAAGAGCTCTCAGGGGCTGGGTATGTAACTCAGTGGTGCCAAACCTGCCTGGCAAGCGCAAGTCCCGGAGTTCAATCCCCAGTACTGCAAAAACAAAAAGAACAACAACAAAAAAGCTATCAGAACTAAAATGGAAAGCAGTTCAAAGCTTGCCTGAAGGGAGGGGTGAGTTTCATTATAAATCCCTCTATGATCTTATTTTTTTAAACCACATGCAAACATTACTGTGATTAAAAATAAGAATTTGTAAGGAAGGAATTAGAGATTCTCAAACTGATTTTTGGCTTTCAGTATAAATGAATTAAATGTGTAATTTGGAGGGAGGGAATTCATCCTAAATATTAGATCCTCTCATCTCCCCAACCTCATGCTGATGCTTGACTCCAGGGTCACCTCGTGTATCCTAGGCTCCAGGCTCCTGCTCTTTGGAGAAATCTTGCTAAGGACAAGAACAGTCTCTCCATCTGGGAGTCATTGCCAGAGGTTTTACCCTTCAGTACTTAGGGAAGACTCCTTAATAGAGCAGAAAGTACCAGGGACCTACAGTCCAGAAACCTAAAGTTCGAGCCGCAGTTGGTACCAACAGAGAAGCCGTTAGCAGTTTTCGGAAGAGATTACCTCTTTGCCTTCTTCACAGTTATGAGAATCAAAGACACTATGAGGAAGTATTTTTGTGCTCTTTTAAAATAAAAATCAGGCTGGGGAATTAGCTCAGTGGCCCTGTGCCCATCTCTGGTACCAAAACAAAAAATAAAATAAAAAGCAGTGTCATTATCATTAATACTGTTAAAGTGTAGGTACCCTGGGGAACAATTATGAACATCAAAATACACTTTTCTTGGTTGTGCTAGGGATTGAATATAGGAGTTCACATATGCTAACCAAGCCCTCTACCACTGAGCTACACCCCCAGCCCATATCCATAAAAACAAATAATAATAATGGATAACCTATTGAGTGAGAAGTGCATATTGATACAAATAAATGAGAAGAAAGCCTTATAGTAGAATGCCAACCAAAAAGTGTAAAAGGAATGATGATGTTAGAAAGTAAAAATATTAAAAGGAATGGTACGTTCAAAAGACCCTTTCTTTTGAATAAAGGTTGACTGTCACTTCTTGGCCTTTTGGCTAAGATCAAGTGTGAATAAAGGTGGATGTTGCTGTTCTACTTTATTGCTAGATTAAAAAGAAAAAGAAGGCCAGGCATGGTGGCACACATCTGTAATCCCAGTACTGAGAAGGCTGAGGCAGGAGGACTGCCATGAGTTCGAGGCCAGCCTGGGCTACATAGTGAGACTCTGTCTCAAAAAAACAAAAAAATTAAAAGAAGGAAGCTGGGTCCCCTGTAAAGCCTCTGCTGCCCACGTTGTCAATATTAGGTGGAGATATTAGTCCAGAGGCAACAATAAGATAATTTAAAAGTGCCTAATAACTGCAGATGGAACTCTTTAGAAAAAGAAAATCAGGTTTAGTATTTACTAATGATGATTTATGGAAGCTGAGGATTCTCTAGAATCATAATCTGACCTTAGTCACTGATCCACAAAATGGAAAGTGCTGGCTGTTTTCTCCATGACAACAGAGGCTCATTTTGACTCCAAATGGGAAAAAATGTATTGGAATATTCTTTAAAATTCACCTTAAAGGGGGAGGCAGGGATGGTGGTGCAGGCCTATAATCCCAGCACTTGGAAGGCTGTGGCAGGAGAATCCATGTAACTTCAAGGCCAGCCTCAACTACAGTGAGACCCTGTTTCAAAAAAAAAGAATATGTAATCCTTTGCACTCAGCGGTTTCACTCCCAGAATCTCTTTCTTAGGCAAGACTCAGAGATGCTGAGCATGGTGGTGCACACCTATAATCTCAGCACTCTGGGAGGCTGAGGCAGGAGGATTGCAAGTTTGAGCCCAGCTGGGGCAATTTAGTGACTTAGGCAGACCTTGTCTCAAAAAATTAAAGGCTGGGGATGTAGCTCAGTGTGAAGACCCTGAACTCAGTCCCCAGTACAAAAAAAAAATCATCCAGAAATAGTAGGGATAAGGGATGACCTCCGAGCCTAGGGTACAAAATAGGATACAAAGTTACAGAGACAGTCCCAGATTTGCGATGGTTAGCATTTTTCAGCTTTGTGCATGAGTGATAGACATTCAATAGAAACCATACTTCAGATTTTATTTTTTATTATTTTATTGAAACGGAGTCTTACTATGTAGTCCAGGCTGACCTTGAACTCCCTATGCATCCTAGGGTGACCTTGAACTCATGGTGATCCTCCTGCCTCAGTCTCCCGAGTGCTGGGATTACAACTGTGTGCCACCACACCCAGCTCTTAAGGTTTTATTTTGAGTTTTTGCCTTTGCCAGGCAGATGGTCCAGGGTCTAAGCCTTTCTGTGAGACCAGCAGGGTGGGGCAGCAAGCCCATGGTCACGATAGGAAACCCCAGGTTCTCTGCAGACCCCATGCTGCCTGGCTGGGCTGTGGGCCCAGCCAGACGTACACAGTGCATCTTAGACTAGGGTGCTTCCAGCTGAGGACAGGTTTGCAGGGATAGAGCCCCACTGTAGGAGGAGGAGCATCTGTTGTTTTGTCATGTTGTCACACTCCCAGAAGGAAACCTCCCTGGTTCTCATTGTGCTGTGCTACGGCCCCCGATGAGCTGAGCAGTGGGAAGCAGGTTACATGCTAATGCCGCCTTGCTCACAAAAAGCCCTTGAGTGGTTTTGTTTTTATTTTGTATTTTGGTTTTTTAAGACAGGGGCTCTCTGTGTAGTTCAGGCTGGCTTTGAACACATGGCAATCCTCCTGCCTCAGCCTCCAGGGTGCTAGGATTACAGACCTGCACCACTGCACCCAGCTTCACATACTTTTAAAAACACTTCTCCCGAGCTGTTTCTCGAGGAACACCTATCACTTTAGAATGAAGTCATGGGAGACAATAAAAATCATTCATTTGTGCCCAGTGTCCCAAAAGTCCCGGGAGGCTGTCCACCTCCAGGTGTTAGTGATGACCCTCTCTGGCTGGCAGAGGATGGTCATACTCCGTTCTCCTTTTCCTCTCTTTGGTCACTTTTCCATAGAAAGTGGGCACAGAGTTACTTGAATGTAGGATCTGTTTGGTGCCTATGGCTGGGGGCGGGGGGGCGTCTCTGGAGCTCAGGGGCCTCCCAGGGTCCCCACCAGCCCTGTCATGGCACCGGCCACCCACCACCACAGCTTACACCAGCCCAGCCGTGCCTGTCCTCATCCCTCCCAAGGGGCCGTGTCCTCACTCGTCTGTAAGTTTCCATTTACCAGGCTCCGTGTGGAGGCTGAGCAAATGTTCATAGGAGAGAAAGAAACTCCAGCCCAATGGCTCTGGGAGGACGTTTGCTTTTAATTAAAGTGAGAATCGGGAGCTCCAAACCCTATTCTGATGAGACCAGGAGGCAGCCAGGAAGGCGTCCCCAGGAGGGAAGGGCAGTGGGGGTGGGGAGCTGCCTCAGGCCCTCAGTTCTCACCAGGCCCCTGCAGAACAGGGACCAGGGACACCCTCAGGAGGAAGGGCAGTGGTGTCCTGGCCCTGGTAATTGGAACCCAGGCCCCACAGGGTGAAGGCTGCTAACATGAGGGTCACCAGGGGAGTACTGTGCCTGTCCTCAGAAACTGGGCTCGGGGCTTGGCCCCTGCAGACAGGGAGGAAGGATCTGCCTGCATCTGCTGAGCCAGCACCCGGAGGGGACAGGGGTTTGCCTTTGTGTCCAGCCTGTGTCGCCCATAGGCTGTAGAGAGGGCAGATCCCCGGGGGTGGTGCAGGGAGTTGTCCTCACTGGGGCATCCATAAAGACCTGGCCTTCGGAGCTCAGTCTCTGTGGGTCTGAATCCTGCTTCTGCTCCTTCTAGCTGGGCCACTTAGGGCAACCTAATGCCCCTCTTGGAGCCTCAGTTTCCTCATCTGTAAAATGGACACAATGGCTGTGCTTGCTGTGGCCTGAATATGGAGCCCCAATCCCCGACCCCCATTGCTGTGGGGTCCGGTGGGCATCCTTGGATCATGGGGGCAGCCCTGAGAAGGGATGCGGAGCTCCAGCATCCTCTATTTCTGGCTAGAGATGTGGGTACAGTTCCTGCCATGATGTGCCACCCTTGGGGCTACCAGTCTTGCTGTGGAGCCCCAAACTTGTGAGCTGAAATAAACCTCTCTACCCAAATCACCTGTGTCAGAGCAAATCAAGAATGAAGAGCTCAGCAGAATGATTTAAAACACTGTCAGGCCGGGGATTTAGCTCAGTGGTTGCGGCACCTGCCTCACAAGCACAAGGTCCCGAGTTCGATCCCTGGTACCAAAAAAAGTTTTAAAATAAAATAAATTTTAAAAAACACTGTGGATTTGGCCAGAAAGGAAGTTCTAGTAAAGCGGCAGACTAATAAGAGAGAGCAGAGAAGAACTTGGTTGCTGACAAGGAAGAGGACAACAGAAAAGGCCTGAGGACATCACAGCCTCGAGTTGCAAAGGTGAAAGAATTTGGTTTGAGAAGACAGCCCTGGAGCACCACGTTCCAGAATAGCTGTGGCCTAGGGAAGTTGTTCCTCAGGATTTGGTTCATAAGCACTGGACCCCTACAGCCAAGAGAGAAGGAAGCCTGGCTACAGATCCAGCTGGCAGCAGACCTCAGCATCATCCCGTGTGGTGCTGGTTTTAGGTGCATGCAGAATGCAAGAATTGTGGAGTCAGGAAGGCTTCCACCCAGATTTCAGAAGAAGGCCTGAGGCCAGGCAGGGTGCCCCTGAGAGGGCAGTGTGTAAATACGTGAATGTGAAGCCGAGGGTGCAGTGGAGACCCCAGAAGTTTGGAGAAGCCAGGAGCATGGATCAGCTGAGGGAAACTGCAAGGAGGGAGCAGAGCCAGCCCAAGAGAGAAGCCATGGAGCTACAACCATAGGCAGTGCAGTAGGAGTGGAGCCACCCCAGCCCTTTGGAGTTCACAACTTGCCACAGATTGCCAGGGACGCTGGAAGTGGAACTGCAGCGTGTAAAGTTTGCCCTGCTGGGTTTTGTACTTGCTTTGGTCCTATTCCCTTCTTTTCCCATTTAGAATGGGAAAGTCTATCTTGTGCCATTGAGTGTTGCAAGTGTTTCACTTTCTTTTCATCTGTACAGGGGCTCGCAGCAAAGAGCTTGCTTAAATCTCAGAGGAGACTCTGGACGTGGACTTCTCAGCAATGCTGAAACTGTTAGGGCTTTGGCAACTCTTAGAGATGGACTAAATGCCTTTTGCATAAAGGGATGCACATGAGTCTTTGTGAGGCCAGGGGCAGAATGTTGTGGCTTATGTCTAGATGTCCCCCAAACCCTCATGCAGTCGTGGGGGGGGGGCGGGCTTTGGAGGTGGCTGAATCTAGAGTGTGATTCTGGGATTAAGTGGGTGATGCTGGGATCAAGGGTGTGTGATTATTAAATTAATCCACTGCCTGGTTTGGCATAGTTCTGGGAAGGCCATAACCATGGGAAAGGGAAGGCCCACCCTGGTTGTAGCTGCTATCTGCCCTAAGGGTGTGTGGCCTGGATTGAACATAAGGGACAGAAAGAGGCTGCTCCAGTCATTTGTCGCTTGTCACTTTGCTGCTTTGCTGTCTTCTGCCCACCAAGGACTGTTTCTCCTCTGTGATGTCCCTCTGCCAAGCCACCCTGCCTTGGAGCCAGCCAGCTATGAACTGAAACTCTACACACTGTGAGCTAAGTAAACCTTTCCTCCTCTAACTTTGGGTGTTGAGTGAGGAAAGAACTAAGACAGACGTGGGCACATTAACTCAGAGATTTTGTGGAAGGGATCGGAGGGAGCCGGGTTCCTGGCCCACACTCAGTGAATGTTAGCAATTGTTTAAACACCTGTATGGATGCAAGTTAACTCATTCATCCATCCATCCCAGCATCCCTTACACCGGTCGTTTTTCCTGTCCCTTTGGTAGCTCCAAACACAGGCAGAGAGGCTCAGTAACCTGCCCGAGGTCACATAGTGCCTTCAGTGAGGAGCTCCATATCCCATGTCGTGGCCCTCGTTTTCTTCTGCTTCTCACATGGTGTAGATGGGAAACAAGTGTGTGTGTAGTCTGCAGCGACTGTCATAGAGTTGGTGACCTTAGGGAGCAGCTACCAGGGTTGGGAGGGTAGCGGTTCTGGGGCCATGCAGGCTTGGGCTCCAGCCTCAGTCCCTCTGCTTTCCAGGCTGCCACTGGGAAGTCACTTTGCTTCTTTT